ATTTTTTCCATTGAGTCTAGGCTAATATTTATTTTCCTATAAAATGTGGAGGATAGGAAGAATTTCTTCACAGAAATAGGATTTTATTTCTACAAACCAAAGGGCTTTAAAGGAATTTTTTCTATAAAAATCCTATCCTATAAAATTCCTACAAGATTTTTCTAAACCAAAGATGTAATGTACGTATAAAGGTAAGTATACAATATCTCATGGGCCATAGCTTCACGTAGAAAAAGAGAAGTAGCCCAACCCCTAGAAGGAAGGGACGATAGGTAACATCGTACGCACATAAAAAGCATACGATCGTGCGGAAACCAATCAGAGTACACACATAAATCACGTTGGCTCATTCTCTTTATTCCTTAACTATCGTGAGACATTCTCCCTCTAAAAAAAACAATTGTGTGACGTGAGTTCATCCTTAATTCGCTATATTCTATGTTCTCTTCTGGCTCCAAACTCCAGATCCCAAATCGCTGAGGGTTGAACATCACCTACCCCTGAAAATTAACATCACCTACCCCTGAAAATTAACATTGCCGGCGGGGCTGCACACGTACATCGCCGAGTGTCTGCCACCAGAAATCCACATCACATCATCACCGAGCGTCCAATGACAGACGTCAATCTAATCAATCTTAGGTATGCCCATATTACTACAATTTAAAGTAAAACTTGGTGCTTTGAGAATGAAATAGTTTGATAAAAAGTAGTTGCCAAGAAGAAATTCTAGAAGTTGAGGTGGATTTTGTTTCATGTTCAATATCTGTCTGTTCTGCTTGATATGAATCACTCCCTTGAAGAAAGTATTTAAGTCACGGTGTTTAAAGATTTATTCAGATTTACCGTGCATGTGATTGTTGCATCATCTAAAAGAAGCTTTTCAAATTTGAAATTATTGAAGAACCATTTGGGATAAACAATGACCTAACAGGGCTTAAATGGTTATGCAAGATTATGCATCGAGAACTAACTGTTCGATGATATAGACATTGACACAATCACAAGTGATTTTGCATCGAAGAATCTTACAAGGAAATTTGAACATAATATGCATATTATGTTTATAACAAGGGAGGGGCTCCAAATTGTATTTTCGCCCTG